ATTTGGAGGTTGAGGTTAGGTTATATTAGGTTTGGTGATATAGGAATTTATAAATTTAAGGATTTGGTGAGTTGAAAATTTGGGAATTTGGAGGTTGAGGTTAGGTGATGTTAGGTTTGGTGATATAGTAATTTATAAATTTGAGGATTTGGTGAGTTGAGAATTTGGGAATTTGGAGATAGAGGTTAGGTTATGTTAGGTTTGGTGATACAGTAACTTATAAATTTGAGGATTTGGGGATTTGAGGATTTAATGAGTTCAGAATTTGGGAATTTGGAGGTTGAGGTTAGGTTATGTTAGGTTTCTAGACAAAGGAATTTATAAATTTGAAAATTTGCAGATTTGAGTAAGTTTAGAAATTTGAAGATTTAAGCATTTGAAGAACGAAAAATTTAATGCGTTCAAAATTTTCAGAACTCCCCAAAAACTCAAACTACACCTCAACTAAAAAATCCAAATAAAACTCTAAAAATTTACAAATCTAATTTGAATACCACAAAACAACATTATTCAACCAAACAAAATTTCTACACAGTACGTAATTATGCACAGTATAAACACATCGATAAGTTCTTTTGTCCCTTTTCCTCCAGACAAATTCTTTATCTAACAACGACACAACCATCTCCTTTCTTCCCGAACAGATTCTTGCTTTTATTTACTCGGACTCTTTTTCGTTTTCTGCGTTACCTCGAGGCCAGTGTTACTTCTTTTTCTGTCCACATCGAGGGCAGGTTCACCGACGTTATTTTGCATTTGGTTAGGTTGGTGAGTCTTCAAACAAAGCGTTTGTCGCCGCTCTGTAGACGGACTTTGCCGGACAATTTGCATCTCTGTTCTTAAAATAACCTCTCTTGTTTATACACGGATTCTTACATTTTTCTTTGTCCTTATTGGCTGAGAAAATATGGGGGATGAAATTTTTGGTTCAGATCGTTGAGGGCTAAAGATGAAGGTTGGGGGTTGAAGATGAAGGTTGAGGGGTTGTTTGGATGTTAGAGCTCTTCAAATATATTTGGATGCAACTTCATTCAGTTTAGGTTTCTTAGAATATTTAGGCTTCTACGTTCTCGAATTTCCATGCTTCCAATTTTTTAATCCTAAAAGTTAAATTTGCAGACATCAGACGTCTGAAATTTCTAGACATCTAAGCTACCAAACATTTAGATCCTAAACTCCTAAAAAATTTCCAAAACCTAAAATTCAGAAATTCCCAGATCAACTTCATCTCAAGGAAAAGTTCTAAGCAAACACTTCACATCACTACCAAGTCCACAAACAAAACCATGCAACAGTAAACTTATGTCCAACTTGTATATAAAATCCTGCCTTCCAAATTATATTCTCATTTCCAAAATAAATATCCTCCATAACGCGATCATAGATCCGTTTTTCGTTAATCGAAGACATTCAGAACGGTAGACTCAATTTTGTAAGTAACTGTATGGTACCTGCAGAGGGAGAGGGTGGTAGAGAGAGTAGAAGAGAAACAACGAAGAGGAGAAAAGGGAGAGGAGGTCAGAGGGTTGCCCAGCGCCGCCCCTAACCCGGTGGGGGTAAATCTATTGCCATTCCTTTCTGGGTGCATTGGGTGGTTGTCACCCCTACTGGTTTCATCACGGGTCGGAGAAGGACGGATAGGAGGAAGGGAAGATCGAAAAGGGACGGAAGGAGCGTGGGCGTTTCTGCGGGGAGAGAGACAGAAGCTTGTTAGCCGGAGAGAGAAAGAGGGTGCAACGATGGTGGAGATAGCTGGCAGACAATAGAGAAGGACAGCTTTCGTGCGTTTCAGGGAGAGAGAACTATCAGCCGATCGTAAAGGTCGTCGTTGCATTCTCTTCTTGCATCTATTTCTCGCTCTACCTTCATCTTTCGCACGCACTTGTACAGTCGAGAGCAAATCTCCTTTACCAAATGTGTTACAGCTGTTTTCTATGGATTTATGAATTTTTTCAGTATTATGTTTAGGTGTTTGGGAAGTTGGGGAGAGGCATTTAGGTGTGTGATAGGGTTTGGGGATTTTAGTGTCGGTGGATATAGGGGTTGGGGATTTTAGTGTCGGTGGATGAGAAAGTTGGGGATTTTAGTGTCGGTGGATATAGGAGTTGGGGATTTTAGTGTCGGTGGATGAGGGAGTTGGGGATTTTAGTGTCGGTGGATGAGGGAGTTGGGGATTTCAGTGTCGGTGGCTGTAGGGGTTGGGGATTTTAGTATCGGTGGATATAGGAGTTGGGGATTTCAGTATCGGTGGATGAGGGAGTTGGGGATTTTAGTATCGGTGGGTGAGAGAGTTGGGGATTTTAGTATCGGTGGATGAGAGAGTTGGGGATTTTAGTGTCGGTGGATATAGGAGTTAGGGATTTTAGTGTCGATGGATGAGGGAGTTAGGGATTTCAGTATCGATGGATGAGGGAGTTGGGGGTTTTAGTCTCGGTGGATATAGGAATTGGGGATTTTAGTGTCGGTGGATGTAGGGGTTGGGGACTCAAGTGTCGGTGGATATAGAAGTTGGGGATTTTAGTGTCGATGGATGAGGAAGTTAGGGATTTTAGTATCGGTAGACATGGGAGTTGGGGATTTTAGTATCCGTGGATACAGGGCTTGGGGATTTTAGTGTCGGTGGATATAGGGGCTGGAAATTTTAGTGTCGATAGCTATAAGGATTTGGGATATCAAGAATTTAGGGAGTACGTGACGACCGACATCATAAGTGAATTTCAGAAATTTTTTAGGATTCCCATATGGAAATCTAGGGATTTAGAGATTTTGGAGAATTGATATCTAAAGTCATGGAGACTCAGAAATTGTGAGATTTGAAATTCTCAGCAGAAATCTAGGGATTTGAAAATTTAGAAATTTGCAAATTTCGACAGCTCTCAAAATTCTAAAATTTAGAAATCTCTCAAAATCCTAAAATTTGAAAATCTCTAAAATTCCTAAAATTTGGAAATTCCAAAAATCCTAAAATTTCAAACTCTTCAAAAATCCTCAAATTTGGAAATCTCTCAAAATCCTCAAATTTCAAATTCTCTCAAAACCCTCAAATTTTGAAATCTTATAAACTCACAAAATTTAGAAACCTCTCAAAATCCTAAAATTTCAAATTCTCTCAAAACCCCCAAATTTTGAAATCTTATAAACTCACAAAATTTAGAAACCTCTCAAAATCCTAAAATTTTGAAATCTCCAACCCTGCAAGTAACAAAGCTAAAAATTTCAGAAAATCAACCCAAAATGTTTGAAGACGATAAAATCCAGAAGTCTCGAAACAGCAACGTCTCAAAATACCACGAAACACATATAGAATCATTGATGCACATTTGGCCCGAAATATAAGTATTTATTCATTCCTATACATAGATCAATATTGACGTCCGAACGATTGTGTCCAAAAAAACGAGAGCCAAGTGGCGTCTGAAAACGAGACGATAATTAAATGGATATAGAACACGATGAAAAAGCTGCAGAAAGAATAATAATAGGATAATAATAGAATACGGGGAAACACAGATCGGACCTCGGATCAATGATTACGTTTCTTCTATTATAACGCATTTGGTCATTTAAGAATTTACTAATAAAATCATTTACAGAGTCAAAAATTTAATTATTTAATTTAAAAATTCAGAAATATAGTAATTTAAGGGTTTAAAAATTTGTTAGTTGAAAAATTCAGAATTTGGGAAAATGTGTTAGATGATTTAGGAATTTGGAGATCAAATTTTTTGCAGGTTCTAAAATTTCATAATCTGATTTAGGAAGTCAGGAATTTAGAAATGTAGTAATTTAAGGGTTTAAAAATTTGTTAGTTTAAAAATTCAGAATTTGGGAAAATGCATTAGATGATTTAGGAAATTGGAGATAAAATTTTTTGCAGGTTCTAAAATTTCATAATCTGATTTAGAAAGTCAGGAATTTAGAAATATGGCAATTTAAGGGTTTAAAAATTTGTTAGTTTAAAAATTCAGAATTTGGGAAAATGTGTTAGATGATTTAGGAATTTGGAGATCAAATTTTTTGCAGGTTCTAAAATTTCATAATCTGATTTAGGAAGTCAGGAATTTAAAAATTTAGTAATTTAGTAATTTAATAATTTGAGAATTTAAAAATTTGCAAGTTAAAAATTTAGAATTTGGCAGCGCATTTGGTGATTTAGGAATTTGAAAATAAAATTTTTTGCAGATTCAAAAATTTCATAATCTGACTTAATAATCAGGAATTTACAAATACAGTAATTTGAGAATTCAACAAATCATAAGTTTAATAATTCAGATTTTGGCAATTTGATAATTTGACAACTTGGCTCTTTAACAACCTTAAACTTGCAAATTCCATACTTCAGAAATTCGATGATACGATGATCTGAAAATGTAAAAAGCGTCAATTCACCAAAGCTATGGTTGCTATTTCGAAAAAGCTTGAGCTGTAAAATGTGAAGTGTAAGATCGAAATTTCATTGAAGTGCGTGAGTCGGGAGCATCCGTTGTCAGCCGCGTTAACTAAGATTTCTGTGAATGTACATCAGCTCGGGGTTTGTATCGGAAGGCCCCTCTCCACGGTCAGTGGCGAGAGATACGAAAACAGAGATAGATCGTTAGAGTGCGACAGGTGAAGGAGGGTTGAAGCGTTTCGGGGTAGCGAAGAGGAGGATAACGGTCGGAGTAGGGAGGGTAGTAAGGTGGCTAAATCGTGGACGAGTGGGGAAGGGTTAGAGGGTGAGAGTCGGTTGTGGTGGGGGATAAAGGCAGGTTCCGTGCGTTTCGTTGGAGAACTCGTAGCAGCGGGCGACCGTAAAGGTCGTCGTTGCTCTCTCTCCATCGCCGCATACAAGTCGAGCAGCTGGCGGCAGCAACGTCAGCAACGGATCAGTCCACCGTGTGCCACCTTCGGGCTCCTTTTGATAACCATCCGTGGTGCGGAAGCCTCCCCTTTTTATTTTACGATGTACGTTTCGAGGCATGTTTCGAAGTTACGATTAACGTGTTACATGGTGGATCCAGATGCGGGAATTAAAATCGAGATGACTAACCGTGCTTCTTGGCTGACACTGATGTCATCGATCAGCGTGAGTAACTCAGTTTTCTTAGAAGACACTTTGGACCTTGACTTCCGATCGCTTTCTTTTATTCCTCCTTGCCAATCTTTTCTTTGCGGAGTACCTGGAATTCGTATTTTTAACTTCTGTACACCCTCTTCTCTTCGTACTTCTTATAAATAAAAGGTAACTTCTCTTCGACTTGATTTATTCTGCAATCTCTACCAGCAGAAAATTAATAACCAATTTCAAACTATACTGTCTATATATTTTTGTATTATCAATTAAATTTTCAAACCTACGAGGTAAATATTAGGGGTACCGAAGAAATCAAAATTTCTTCGATGACGTCAAAGTTTTTCAATGAACTGAAGGACTTTTTTCAAAAGGGAATCGAGCAATTGTCTTCGCGCTAACAAGAAGCGTTAGAAAATAATGGAAATTATTTTGTTGATTAGCAGTTAAGATTTCTTTAATAAATAAATGTTTTTCGAAAGCAAACGAAATTTTGATTACTTTTCGGTACCCCTAATATTTTTGCATTATCTATTTGCGGAATTAAATTTTCAAACCTACGAGGTAAATATGTACGTTACCAGGCTTGAAAAAGCTGAAATAGTATTCAGTTTAATTAAATTCCTCGTGAAATTCGGAATCGACAGTGTAATTTTTAAGCAGAAAATTTTGAAAGTTCGTACAAGTAGATTCTGGGAATCTACCCCCTCTAGGGTTTACATTTTCATAATTCGCCCCAGTTCAAATACAAAGATCTTTTGTACTTTCCATGATTAATAAGATTATAGGTTGTCAGAAAATTATGTTTATCCTTGAATGTTAAATGTTTAAAAATCGTTAACTCTCTCATGCAGTATGCGATGAATTAATTCTCAGTTGTCGAGAAATAATTTATGCCACTTCCTGAGGAAGACTTATTTTTGACGAGCAATTCTGTGCAAATGCATTTTGTAGTTTTTGCTTCGGAAGTTTGCATTCGAGGGTTAACTCTCGATAATCGAAAGTTCCATGGAAATCGCACACGAGTAATATCTGACCAAGTCGTGTGCCTGGAATTTTGGCAACGCAGCATGGATTGCACAATTCTATTGCGTTTAGAATTCAAACTCTGTCTTTTGACGTCACTTTTCCCCTAGATTTTCAACGCTATATGTGAATACGTAGTTTCCTTTATTCAATTTCCACATAATAATTTTAATTTGCAAATACAAGTTTCGTGTTTGCGAAAACACCTCATTTCGCAGAAATACCGTTAGTTTCCTATAATTAAAAATTGTCCCCTATTGTACCTAGTTCAGGGTGAAATGTTCTCCATTTTCGAGAAAATACCACTGCGATTGCATCGCATTATCTCCATTTTTGCACCGCTGCAATTTCGTCGCACGAAAATTTTTCAAACAATCGATTTCGAGGCGATGTGGTAATCCGTGAAATATTTCGTTATCGCACAACCGTGGCTACTTATCGTCGAAATAAATATCGAGTGGACTTCGAATTTTGCAAAATGTGCGCATAACTCGCAGTAAAGAAGCCATCGATTGCCTTTTTCGCTTATCGCTGAAATATCGATATCGAGGTGGACTTCGAATTCGCGGTAATTACAAAAATTACAATTCCAGGGTTATTCGACTAGTTTAATTTTTTATTATTTTACGTGGAGAATCTTCGGGAGATCGAAGCTCTATCGAGTAGCTTGTTATATGACATATTGCGTATATGAGATAACTTGTTATTCGAGCACCAAGTTATATCATTTCAACTCTGAAACTCCTTGCAAATAGTTACTTAATTGCCTATTTATCGCCAACATCTTATGAAACTTTCCTTAGTTTCATTCTGTTAATTACAAAATAATCTGCAGTCTTCATAGACTACGAAATTTATTCTTTCGAATGAAAAGCTAAATCGCCTTAATCAAATGGCTTTAATCGCGCGATTAAAATGTTCGTTTAACAAGAAGCATAATTGAGGCTTGTATGTACTCGCTAAGAGAGTGAAACTTTAATGGCACGTTTCTCACGCGCGTGTTGCTCGTTGCAATGGAAATAGCAAAGAGGGAATAATTGTGCGCACGAGTTATTCGGTTTGTCGAATCGAATCGTGCATAATTCAAGCTACATGCTTAATACATACCGTGAGTCACGTCGACGAAAGAGTTTCATTAATTCGTGCAAATCTTAGATGTAAAGATGCATATGAAGTACTGCTTTGATTTGTCAAATGAACGCGATTGGTACGATACTTTGCAGAGAACTCGTTTATCTTGACACTCATAATAGGTGAGAATCAAATGTAACTCAACGAATACAGTTTGGTTAAAATGAATATGATGTCAGAAAGTAAGTACATTCAACTTCTGACCACATTGAGCTTTTACGATTGAACCTTCATTAAACTGATACATGTTAAACAGTACCCTTGTTAAACAGCCTTGTTAAACAGAATCTTTCCAATCTAAACAATTCTAGTAACTGTAAAAAATATCTGTATGTAAGGTTACTAAAAAAAGTTGAGTGTCCACAAACGAAGTTCAGCGAAGTAAAAGAAAGACGTGGAAGTAATTCTTGGGACTCGAAGTGAAGCTGTGCCGGAGCAAAACTTCCTGTTTCGTTTTCCCGTGATATGCAGTTTCATTTCAAGAATGTCTGTTATTTCATGCCTTTGCTTCTGAATTATCATATCGCGTTTCCACGGTTACGCGCGTAGAGCGTGGTCGTGTTCAGCGCGTAACGTAAATTCAAGAGAATTATCATCCTTTTAGCCGCGGGAGTTTGAAATGGCGCGCGATTCAACATTGCCGTGTCACGCGGACGGGTCCATTACACGCTGATATGCAGCGCGAGCATATCCTCTCGTTGGCCGTTTCGCGCCAAGTAAAATGACATGTCACGAAAGTGGAAGTCTTGAAAGAAACTGATGAAATCAATTATTATACTTAGTACAGTGATATGCAACGGTTGTTAAGTACTATGGTATATCACATTGGCAATGTAACACGTGATAAAACACCTGGCGATATAACGCGAGGAATTCTTATGACGATATAGGTCAAGAGATTTATAGGGCATGGAATATCGCAACGTATGGTGATATAATGCGAGAGTGTCATAACGCATGAGAAATTATAATTTTTGGCAATATAACGCAAGGGGTGTTGCAACACGTGGAAACGTCATGTAAGGGGAATTGTAACGATGGCAATATAACGCGAGGGAAATTGTGACACGCGGCGATATAACAATTACAAAGCGAATTACAATGCATGGCGATATAACGCGAGGTGAGTTGAAACGCGTGGAAACGTCATGTAAGGGGAATTGTAACGATGGCAATATAACGCGAGGGAAATTGTGACACGCGGCGATATAACAATTACAAAGCGAATTACAATGCATGGCGATATAACGCGAGGTGAGTTGTAATGCGTGGCGATATAATGCGAGGAAGTTGTTACGCATGGCGATATAACGCGAGGTGAATTACAATGCGTGGCGATATAACGCGAGGGAATTGCAAAGGGTGGCGATTTAACGCGAGGGGAATCCTAATGCGTGGCGATATAACGCGAAAGAAATTGAAACGCGTGGCGATATAACGTGAAGGAAATTGAAACGCGTGGCGATATAACGTGAGGGAATTGCAAAGAGTGGCAATATAACGCGTGGGGAATTACAATGCGTGGCGATATAACGCGAGGAAATTGTAACGCGTGGTAATATAAAGCGAGGGAATTGCAAAGAGTGGCGACATAACGCGAGGGGAAATTACAATGCGTGGCGATATAACGCGTGGTAATATAACGCGCGGGAATTGCAAAGAATGACGATATAACGCGAGGGGAATCATAATGCGTGGCGATATAACGCGAAGGAAACTGAAACGCGTGGCGATATAACGCGAGGAAAGTTGTTACCTATGGCAATATAACACGTGGAAAATTGTGACATATGGCAATATACCCCTAAAGAAACCATTATGCATGGTAATATTGGCGATATAATACGTAGGAATTAAAACGCATAGTAATATAGCAAGAAATAATAAGATAACAAAGTTATCGTCAAAAACGTGAAATTAATTTCTAGGAGAAATCTTTGGATCAGGTAATTACATTTAGTGCAGTGATATGCAGTACAAGCCTGTTCTTATTGGTTGTTCAGCGTCAAGTAGAGTGAAGTGGCACAAACTGAAACACGTTTCCGTATAAAGGACAAATTATGTAATTGAAACGATACGTGTGCGGCTGCTTGATACTGATTATCTTCGAAAATGTCAAGTGATTTCGTAGAGACACTGTTGAAATCTACTTTCGTAACGAAATTTGCGTAGTTTCAAGGTCAATTTGTTTACGCGGGATGACATGTCGGTTTGTAATCCTAGATTCGATACACGATATCATCCGAGATATCATCGAGAGTTTCATGAGATCGTCGTTTATCTGCGAGCCTGAAATAAAACGAGTATTCCAACAAACTTCGAAGCGAATTTTTATTCGCTACTCTTTTACATTTTACTTCTGTAACCGCAATTGCCCTTAATTATTCGACAAAAAATTTATTATGACTTACAAATTGAGAATCAGTTTTGTAATTAAATCGTTTTTGAAATTTTTCCATCATTATTTTGCCGAGTACTTAAATCCTCGAATGGGGTTTATGATAAAAAATGAGTTAATGAACCAGCCCGAAAAATAGAAATAAAAGTTTTACTCGCCAATTAACCGCGAAACCTATGCACACAACACAAACTTCGTGGTATACTCGACGCGTGCGTGTATGTCCATGTACACGATTTTACATCCAAACGTTCGGCTCTCCTCGTTGCCTTCGTGTTTTCCGCGAATGTACCGGTGCAACGATAAATTCGTATCGCGGATCAAATGCGATTGGCTGGGCTGACAGTGACGTCAAACTGGTGGGCAGCCGTCAAGTGGCACGACTGCTTCCCAAAGATCAGTAAAAAAAAAGATATTCGCGTCTCGTTTAATCCCTGTTGGTTCGGAATCGTGCGTGATCGGCACTTCCGCCGACGGTCTTACACCAAAGACTCTCTATGAGTCATTCTACTCCCTGACAAATACATCACGTAATGCCTCGTACTTTTTTATTTTCACGCGATATAACGTGTGGCTTTTAGCTAGAAATTGATATCGGGTCTTTTCTCCCTCGTGGCTTTAACCGTGGTTTAATATGTATTTATACAATGTGTTCCATTATTGATATCGTGGATAAGGGGGATTTATGGACGGAAATTAATCGAAGTGACATTTCTCTGTGTCTAGTTTCGCAAAAATTTTGCGGGAAATTTGAATGAGGATTTCAAAAAAAATTTGACTTCATCAATTGACACTTTGATCATTGTTAATTATTTATGTAGACTTTAATGTGTATTATCGAATCTTTAAATATCTACATCTTTATATTTTCAAATCCTTGAAATCTTCCCTAGCTCCCTAAATCCTCCAAATGTCCCTAGATTCTGAACCAAAAATCTCCAATCCCCAAATTCGAGATTCAGAAATCTTTCCTGAATCTCCAGATTAAAAATCCCTGAACTTTTCCCTAGTTCCCTAAATCCTCCAGGTTCGAAATGTCCCTAGATGCTGAACAAAAATCTCTAGTCCCCAAGTTTGAGATTCAAAAATATTTCCTGAATCTTCAGATTAAAAATCCCTAGAGTCTGAAGTCCAGATACCAAAAATCCCTAGACCTCGATTCCTTAATTCCAAAATCTCTAGATCCCTATTTAAAAAATGTCTAAATTCCAAAAATGTTGAGAAACCTTAAAGATTGTTAACGTGTTAATGAATGTTATAAATCGGTTTTTTATTGCGTCACCTTCGAGAGACCTTGTATATTGGTGTAACCGTGTCCTTGATATACATAGAACGCAGATGATGACGAGGTTTTTTGGTTTATTTTTTTCCCGATTCTCCTGGATGGCTGGCGATCGATGATGACGGGTTGCAGTGAGCAGACTCCATTGCGAGTCCGAGTCCTTCAAGATGGACCTGATCCTCGACATCAACAGCTGGTTGTACCCGATGGAACTAGGTGAGTAGATAATTTTCAATTATTATTAAACATTTTTTTTGTAACTGACCTGAATTTTGCCCTGTAATTATTTGTGCGCGAGTACATTAAAATTTACATACGTATAACAGTTACTTTTCTATCACGGTGACAAAGCTTTCTAGAAAGTAATTACTGAAAGGGTGAAATTGACGAAATAACATTAAGAATATTTATTATAATAGGATCAATAAATTAGCGTTATCTGGGCAAGAGTTAATTTTAGCGCGATCGCTCATTCTGGTGTGATGTTCATCGAAAAATATGTTTGCCAGCTCCAGATAAAGGAGCATATGGTACTCGTTACGTGGTGCCAGATTGACAGTCCGGTTTAGTCGTTAAAAATTATTCAGATTAATTTTTCGACCGAAATATTTTAACCCTCTAATTTCATCTAATATCAATGTATTCATGATAGTTCCTTATTTTTATTTTGCACGTTAAAAAGGAATTTCAAAAAACTGCAGCGGTCATTCAAATCTCACTTATGCGACTTAAAAATTCATGCTGTAAAAAGTATTAAAAATAACGATCTTCCAGAATAATGGGCTAATAAATAACTTATTCAGAGTACAAAGAAACGCATAACTAGAAGGGGAAAAGTAATTAAACGTTTTTTTTATAGGCAGAGGGGTAGCCGAAGGCTGCATGAAAATTCTGTTTGCTATATTACAGAAGCCCTGTCATGGCTTTCGCGTTTGTTTACATCACACGCGACTCGCGCTGTTCACATGTGTGCGAATCGCTTGATCGATACGTACGAAGCATAAATTTTGCAAGATAAACGAGTGTAAAGTTTACACTCTTGTTTAATCTGACATCCAGTCTAAAAGTTTCGTCACGTTATCTCTTACGTATATCGCAGACACCGGTATTACTTTTCGGTAATATTTGAGCGGGAAAATGGCTCGTAACTTCGTGTTTAAGTTAGATTTTATATGGATACCGTTTTAAGATCACTTTGTCTTTATTAACTATCGTTTTGATTATGTTACCGATCTCACCTAGTTGCATAACCTAACCTCATCCTAACATAATAGCTAGCTTAATACAAGCTGCCAATGGTAGCACAAGAGTAATGTATAAGTCCCTATAAATCTAAAAATCTAATACCGACTAGTACAAATTCCATGAAATCAGTGAATGTTTGTCAGTTGTATTTTTAACAGAGCGACAGATGTTCGATCACCGCGATTTTCGAAGCACCAGAATAAGATTTATGTCCGCGCGAAAGTCGCGCAGAACGTCGTAGACGCATTTGTCAGCTGCGCAATATTTAGATTTCTATTTTCCTTCTTGAGCGAATTTCGCGGAGTTTCGTTTCCGGTTGTGTAATGGGTGCCAAAACCATTGACACACAGCGGCTGAAATCTCGTTTAAAATGTTTGGGAAACGTTCGGGCGAGAGAAAGACGGAGGACACTCCAGGGGGCGTGATCGGTGGCCAAGAATCGATAACACCCCTCCATCTTCGATACTCTTTGGTAAACGTGACACGTGTTTCGTGCTAAGAGACGCACGTGTGCGCCTGTATTTTTTTCCTCTTTACTCCCGTCGCTTTTCCACTTCTTGGTTAGAGACATCCGAAGGACGACCTTGGGTAATGGACACTGGCGGAACGTGTTCCACCCAAGCGACCCGCTGTTGGCCTAGTGTGTGTCTAAGTACACTTCAAGGTAACTTCCGTCGATCTTTTTTAGTGGCAACGAACTGTGTTTGACACGTTGCGCTTTCGAACTTCTTTTTTAACATCTTATCACTCATTTCTATCGTTTTCCATACGTCATCAGGATTATGCACGATGACGTTTATATATCATGTGTAAACTGATAGCGGAGGTCGTCTTACTGTTCGTTCGTGTAGGACATAACCTAGGACAAATCACAGTATATCTTTTAACATTTTTACCTCTACCAAACATTATTTATATTATTGTTAATAGTATATCTTAATCATAATTCTTATTCATATTATACGTAATTACTTTCTTGTAAAAGAGTGAACGTTTTTTTAAAATCCCAAGTTTCAAAGAGAACTTTGAATAATCGCATCAGCAGGTTTTATAATGAAAAGTGAATCGAGAAAGGGAAGGGCATTCGTGATTAACGTGTATTAGATTTGTAAGTGCATCCAAGGCCACGTCACGCTGCAGCAAACCAACTCCCCCTCCCGGTTCCCCTCTGAACATCGTCATTTTGACTCGCCCCACGGACGGTTCTGGATGTATCCCGTTGATTCGGGCGCTGCAGAGGGAGTGGGTGCGTCACACCCACCGATGCCAGGGGTAGGAGAAGTAGGTGGGGTGCACCGCATCGTCGATCCACCCCTGCCTACTTTTGCTGTGTTTACAGATTCACATCCTGTTTCCTTGTCTCTTCTTTTCTCAGAATAGTTTCCCTTCTTTTGTAAGTTTCTCTTTATTCGTTCTCCAACTTGTAACTCGATCTTTTTCCTTTAGGATACATATTTCCATAACATTTTACGTGTACCGATTAAAACATTCCTTTATATAAAAACTTCGGCATTTTTAACAAATACTAGGTTAAACATTCTTGGCAAGAAAGTAGAAAGTTTCTTGGAAAATAATACGTTGGAGAGAAGTTTTATGTTCTAATTAATGTATGCATACTTCTTTAAAACGTATACGTTGAATGGGCCATTTTGACCCGCTGCAAATTCTACTTGGATTTATTCATTTTTTCCTGTGTCTTAAGACGCAGAAATGTTCAGGCACAGACCCGATATGCGTCATAATAGATTTTCTTTGATTAGCAATTTTGACTGCTCACCCACTAGCAGTATTTGTTTACTTTGTACATACGTGTGCCGTACCATTTTAAGTTTAACAGTAGATGGTATACGCTACTTGGCGTGCACCTGTTTCAACGAAAAACGTGGTAGAACGAAAATGGAATTCTAAATGGCAAGAAATCGCGTTTACAATTGTCGGAGGGTTAGAATAGATTTTGCAGGAAGGAGCTTGTCGATCGTGCAGGACTAAACGAGAGAGAGGGAGAGTAAAACGGAGGAGAAGGAGAACGAAGGTTAGTCCATAGGGCCAGGCAGTCCCGCTGTATTGACGCGCGGCGCACAGGCTTGCGCGAGATGACGCAATCTTCCTCTTCTCCCCTCCCCTCTCCATCTTTCCTTGCTCCCCCCACCTTCCCCGATCGTGCCACATTCTGCTCGTCTCCCCTCTCCCCGTCCTTATGCCCCACTCCTCTCTCCTGCCTCACCCGGCAGCTCCCATAAGTTCAATGCCAAGGTCAAAACGGCCACGACTCGTAACCGTGTCGGTCGCGATATTCGCTCGCTGCCGAGAGAAGAAGCCGCGGCCGTGTGTGTTCGTGTTTTCATCGGGCATTGTGTGTAGTTCGTCGTTGTCGTTCCATCGCGTATTCGTCTTTAACTTTTCTCAGTCGCGTATATCCGTGCACGAGTTTTTTTTTTCTCCTCGACGACGTACTTTTCGTATTTTACCGTCGCGCGACTAACCTACATACGAACGCGATCGGCGGACATGTTGAGTCGCACAATGTCACCGAGTGTTTTGGATTATTCGATGCACGAAAGTTCCGGACGCAAGAAAGGAGAAACAGTGACAAGGATACGCGTGTGTTACGAGCTTCGATAATGTAAATCGTGAATGCGTCGTCTGGCATGATTCATCGAGTGCAGAAGGGAAAAGGTCACCGTGACAGGTGCGTCAATGTATTCGAATGGAAAACGAGAGTAGCACGTTCTGCGTCGTGAATGCGAATGCGCGGCGGACAAAAAATGGATATATCAAAATTCAGGATCGACGGTAGTGCTTGCAGGACCCGGGACAAAAATCGATACAAAAGACACGGATTATCGTTTTTAACGTTATTGAATGCGTTGGATTAACGTAACTTTATCAAAATTTATTTTACAATATACTGAGTTAATTGTCGATATCAATAGTAAGCCAGCGTTACTCAAATCGGTCATAAATTCCAAAGTTATAGAGTTGCAAAATATCTAACACCCCATTTTTTCGTAATTCAAAAATTCTAATGTGCCACAAAAAATTCGAAAATATGAAGATTCCAAAGTCCCAAGTCATCCGCTTTTTAAATTTAAAAATTTCTCAAAGTTCCAAGGTCAAATTTCAGTCACTTCCGAAAACCGAGTTCAGGAATTTCTAATATAAACTATCTCGTTCTCTCCTTTTTCCCTCGACCGCGTTGACGTCACGAGACAAGATGGCGGTTTTTGGTAGATCCCGGGACAGATCAGACCTCTGTGTGGCGCGGGGGTGCTTCGACGTTCCCGAGTACGGTTACACAGTGCAGTTCATCTTTGGATACACGTATCTAATTCCTTTTATATCCACTCTAAATTCGGTGCTGTATCCGAGGTTTCGTACGTTTAAACAAGACTTAACCGTACACGGGTTGATCGCTGTCAGTGTCAAGGTTATTGCGGTAAATCACGCGACACACATATTCGCTGCTCGTTCAGCATTGGTTGATACGGCTAGGGATGTAATACCGTCCGTGCAACGCTCAACTAGATAATCTATAATCATTATATCATTATTGTGATGTAAGCCTAACCCATATATACTTCGTAACACGATCAATTGATCATTCAGACTTTTCTGACTTGCTTTTTATCCGCCGTTTCTGCATTGTCCTCTCGACATTGCCACGGCCGGTAATATCGATTACCGTGTACTATGTCTATCGTCGATATAGCGCGGACTTTTAACCTTGACCCTTGTTCTCCCGGAGAGTTTTATGTGTGCCAGCTTGGGCGTGTTTTATTAGTAGCTAAACACACGAAGTGTTGTGTACCTTCTTTGCAATATCGTGCTTAAAGAACATTTAAAAATTTTCTTACTCCACGACAGACAGAACTCGTTTCAACATTCACTGTAGACACGCGAACGGGGATTGCATATAAAAAAATTGACATTTTTTCATAAAAGAACTTACATTAGTGTACCAATTTTTGAGTTGCACTGTACATCTGCTGCGTCGTTAAGAACTTGCCTGTGTCACCGTTTGATTAATCTCACTTCCGCTCGTTCGAGATGTTATTTTTTTATGACGACAGTTTCTCTATACCTTTGTTACTTAAGTCGATCCATTGCATAATCAAAGATATATAACGAAGGCGACCGACACGCGTAATATATTACAGTTTTTGTGTTTCGTCTCGAAGTAACGTGTCATATCACGTTCGCGTAACATATGTACGACACATAAGGCAATGCGGGAGGGAGAAGTACACGCCAAATGTTCTCGCGTGTTGGTCACTCGCGCGTGTGTATAATATGATTCGTTCGTGAAAATAGCGAGAAGACGAGTCTTATTGGTTTATGTTCGCGCAATCAACCGTGTGAATCTCGTTAAACGTGCCGAAGCGAACGCGTCTGCAACGCCCCCAATGTATTTTCGATGCAATTACCTTGAGGCTTATTATTAGAGATCAGTTTCCGTGTTCCGACATCACAATTTTTTTTTTTATCGCATTTCAGTATTTATAGTCAAATACGTTGTTACCATACAAGTTCCTCTTGCGACTCTATTTACTGGAACGTCGTTTTCTTCGTTTGTTACAGGTGATAAATTTCGTTTGGTTCTTGCGACGACCTTGAGGGAGGACGGCTATCCGGATGGAGGGGAATGGAACGCGACGGAACAGGAAGGTGGCTCCAGAGCAGACAGTTTCGAATACGTGATGTCCGGTAAAGTTTACCGAATCGAAGGTGACGAAGCCAGCAACGAACCTAGCAGTAGACTGTGAGTATATTTTATTAATTATAACTCGTAACAGAATAAGATGATAATGGAACAATAAAATTTTTATTATTTCCTATACGTCAGAGCTTTCGTTTTATTTTCGTAATTTGTTCCAAATTGAAAAACAACTGGAAACATGCGGTTTGAAAAAAAATGACTTTATCAGTATCGTTATTTTATTCTGTTACGATCCATCGTAATCGCCTCGCGTATCTCCATGCGTACACGCATGACACGTCACACTGTGACGTCATTCGCACGCGTCGCCGTGCGTAAACGCGCCCTCTTTCTGCCGTGATCTCTGATTGGCTCGCTTCCAGTGCTCAATGAGGTTCCGTGAGAATTTTTCAAGCCTCTTAGTCCTGGGTATCTTCATTGCTCGTAAAAACGATATTTAATATTCGTACGATAATAAAAACCGAACGTGTTGTTCCACGGGTCATATTCCACGCATAAAACCACTAAAATACGTGTTAAACTTTACTGCGTTGTGAGATATAATTTAACACGCGTTTCTTGAATTTTCGCGACTAACTTTGTGAACTTACTCGAAATAACAATAGCTATAAAATAATTATATAAATAAAAACATAAGTTAAAACTATATACAAATATTATCAGTTGCATTAAAAAATGCCTACTATGAAATACCAAATTGATCAATGAAAATACTTCAAACTCATCTAAAATTTAGATGAAATTATGTACGTGTAATAACAGTACGGTAACTAATAGAACTTTTTAAATTGAACAATCGCGACAAAACGTTAGGGAAAAGCAGAATAATGAAGGGGTCCCGCGATAACCTGATTCGACTGACTTATCGTTTAACCTTGAAACTTGATTCGACCGTGTGTAGTTAACGTATGCGGTAAAGGCCGCTTTCGATGTTTGACCAATGTAGTATCGCAAACGAACTTCTAACATCGAATGTGTACGGAATATCCTCTGTGTGTGTGCTTTGAAGATAGAAGAATGCAGCGTGGCCGACGCTCGATAAGATAATGCCGTGTAAACTCGCGAAACGTAAAGAGAATTTAAATCATTTCGATTATGTAATCGTTATCATTTATCGATGACAGTGTTCTACACACGTATTTTTCCATTGGTGTTGCGTAAAATTTTCATAGACAATTATTGTCAGGTTAGGTTAGGAATTGAATTAATTTACCCAGAATTGAAATTTTATCGTCGGACGTTAAGTTAGGAAAGTGAAATTGAATTAATTTAGGTTAGAATCACAATGGGTTGTTAATTTTGAACGAGTTCAAGTTTTGACAGGAACTTCCCGCCATTTTGCTCGAAGTACTTAACGTCACGTGACATCCCTGTCGGAGCAAAATTAATTGGATGAATAGGTGCTTGTCGTTAGGAGGAAAATGATCGCAAAATCGATCAGTTTGCGACACTTCGCAATTTATTATCTAACTGGGGTTGTGGTAGGGGTCGTCTGAAAAAGTAATTTGCTTTCAGGTCCTAATGCTTCTGTATCGATTTATTGATCTGTTTATTGCGCATAGTGCTTTCTTATTTATTCTACTTCAGTTGGACGTAGCTTTATTGTGTTTCTTTAGGTGGTTTTATAACACAAACTTATATGGGGTACTCGTGTTTAAAAATTTTTCACGAATCATGTTGCATCATCTTAGTCCCACATTTTCAAAATTTCACACTTCAAAAATTCCAAAGTCTCCCAAAATTTCAAAGTCCCGAAGTTCGATAATAACCTTACACGAAGATAAAGAAAACTATTTAATATCACAAATGATGACCCAACTGATAAAGAAGAGAATTCCGATGATGTTGATACGACCAGAAGACTCAATCTCCAGTTCTGCGTGCTTTAAAAAGATATCGACGATCGAGGAATTGCAAAAAAGGTAGGATTTATCATTCAACTCGTTCGGTCGGTAAAAGCAGAACGGAAACAGCGAAATAAGCTCTCGGAGAATAGGGAGCCACTCTGCGTTCACTCGGTGGGTAATGAAGCGGGTGAACACAGCTGGTGGTATCTCAATTTTCTGAGGGCGTTAGCAACCCACGTTGAGTTACCTGCTGGTCTCTATGGTGACATGGAATAACAAACACCATGCAATGTTATCGAGGATAAAAAAAAAACACTAAACAAGAGAAACACATAACACAAAACAATTCAATCGCACACATGAAATCACATAATTCCTTATTTAATAATCCTTTGACTTAAAGACGAACAGTCACTGTGTTCAAATAAATAATTATGATGATCTCGAGCACGGAATATTCTTTTTGGATACATTCTAACAACGAGAGGAAGAAAATGATTTCAATTTAACGACCAACGTGTCTCTTGATAAGTCCACTGAAGGGACACGACAGCTGAGAAGTAAATTTATTGATCGAGGTCGCAACAGACTCCAGAGTGGATGTAACTGCAGGTACGCACCGAAGAGATAGTTTTGATCACCGTTGATCTACGATTTTAATTCAATTCTCATTTCGTGATAATGGTTCAATTTTGTGGAAAAGAATTTCACTAAATAAAAGTGACCTACACTGTGGTAAAATATGCGATACATTTTTCTGTGATGCGTACGAGACAAGAGCTTGCGCAGTCGGCGTACGCGGTGGACATGCGCGGTGCACTTGCGCGGGCATCGCAGTCGCGCATTTGAATTCAGTGTGGCGCGCGACGCGTTAAGATGCGCACAAGGTCGTCCGGGCTGTCAAAATCAGCTGACGCTCTGGCGACCAATCAGCTGATTCTCCCAGCAGGAGACTTTCCCTCTAGAGCCCCTCGAGACATAGAGGGCGCTCATTGTCGACTGTTCAATCTTCCTCGAATAATTCATTTCATAATCGACTAATTTAACATTACACCAACAAATTTAATTATAATAAATATTTTCTGTCGGTATCAGAAATATTTATCGACACATATCCATATTTTACTAATTTCAAGTCTTAACAAATTTAGCATGATTACGTATCCTATTACGATCAAGTTTAAAAACTCACGATGCAATATTCAATAAATGTTTTTGTAAAAATGCTAACTAGAGGTATCAGTATGCATCTGTTAGATCACTCTGATGCATCGCGTGACATCATCCGAGTCATTATCGCAATTAATGGTCACAAATGAAATTAATTACAAGTGGCTCGGTCACGATTGGAAACGTACCACGGAAATTAAAAATCTGCTCGACGTACGCGTTGACAAACAGGGAATCAACGGATGTGGGCGGACTAGTCAAGGTCCGCATGTATTTCAACGACTTGTATAATTTTTATTTCCAAAATCTTAGTTGATAGATTTTACTCTACATTCTTTTTGTAGTTAAAAATTTTATAACCTTCGTCGTCGCTTTTCGTATGGAACCTTATCATTTTGGGGTCTGCATATCACTGATATTCAAATACCTATTATAGGTAGCGTACCTGTTAACTTATTAGAAGTAATTTATTCCGAGTAATTTATTTATCAGTTCTCGTTGAATGACAAAGATCATATATTAGGCATAACGTTTTTTCCTCAGTATGGTTTCGTCGGCAAAAGCCCAGGGCCGTCAAAGCTTTCCGTCTTCTCCCGGTGCGTCGTAAATATATCCTCGGCGGAAAATTTAACTTGGACGTCATTCGATGTTGCTTTACCAGAAAACTCGAGGGAGAAGAGGGAGAGAGAAGCGTGTAAAAATGTCGCGTTGTAGTTCAGCGACGAAGCGAGGGGCCGAATTACGTAAGGTTGTGCTGCAACGGCGGCAGCACGCGTTTTTGGCAGGTGGGCTCTGTTTCTCTAACGGGCACATCGTTACACTGCGGAAGTTATCATTTTTTCCGTTTCTCGCAAACACGATATTCGATCGTTTGTTCGCGCCACTAGTCGTACGTTACTGGTCAACTTGTAGCCTTGTACTCTAGCGGCAATCCACGTCGCATGTGGACTGCTCGGAAGAGCGGAAGAAGGAAGGGAATGCGACGTGTCACGTAATGCTAGCATTATGCAAGCCAGTCTCGACCGTTTAACAGCTGATCGCTTTTAACGTCTACCTACTATTTTTCCTAGCTTACGCCTGTAATGTCTTTCAATTCTTGCTCCTAAATGTTGCTGGCGTATTTAAAAATTTTCAGAATCGATTCTCAAATTGACAAGTTTCCGAAATTTTTAAAGCGGACAATTTAGAAATTCTTAAATTAGCAAATTTGGAAATAAAAAATTCACAAATAATTGAGGGGATGTCAAGAATCAAGAATGCTTGGTTATATGATTCTTTTCGTTGCTATAGCTTGAAGGGCCATATATCGAGACTCATAATTCCAGTGCTACAGCCTCAAAGAACCCATAATTCCGAAAATTTTTAATTACCCCCCAACTCGATACAATAAAAAGTTAATCATAACAGTACCTTAAAAAAGATCCAATCCAATACATTGCATGACAAAGAAACTCTTGTCAATACCGTCCTAAAACCTCCGCGTTATTTTGCCGTCACAGATGTACACGAATTGAGTTTAAGCCAGTGATTGACGTCACGCAGTGAGCGCAGAAGGGGTCACACAAGATTCGAGAGAGTTATTCGATTATGTTACATTAAACCGTATTCCGAGAGCGTCACAATTTCAGCCTTAATGCGTGTACTCGGTAGCCTAGCGTATCTGCAATTCCACATCCAGTTAGGGTGAGTTGTAATTCCGTCATGGATACAGAGTACCCACGTATCTAATACCTCTTAGCTACGTATGCGTCTATCGAGCGGTATCGGTCCAGTTTGAGGCGGAATTATTTCGATAATCCAACCGCGTGTTTTTCGTTCGACCGATCTGGGTCAACTCCCTTCAACGACGTTCGACCGTGCAGCCTCCTCTTCGTTTACGAGCATCGCTTTTTCTGCGCGTACGGGAATGATTCGCGTGCTCTTGCTGCGTTTGTTACTTATGTGTAGTGATCGGACACTGTGTTCGGTACTCTGGAAATGGTTGCATGTAGCTTCGGAAACGAGTTACGAATGTTACGAGGACTT